GAGCAGCACACCTGAGCTGCCTGTGTGTGCCCCTTGGGGCTGTGCCAGGGGCCCTGGGGATGGGCAGAAGCCAGAAGTCCTTGGGGATTCACGGTGGGTGGGGGTGAGAGAGTAAGGCCTGGCCCCTCATGTAGATGAGATAAATGACCCAGAGTGGGAAGAGGTTGCTTCTGCCAGAAGATCTTGGAAGTCTGCTTGGAGGAGGCAGCCAGGGAGCTAGGCCTTGTACATAGGAAGGGCATTTCACATGAGGGCACAGTTTAGGCAAAGGCGCAGACGGGGTAATGTGCACCATAGATTAGGGAGACAGCAGGAAACCCCAGTGGGAAGTGGCATGGATGCAAGGCGGTGAGTGAGCAACACTTGGGCGGGCTGGGCTGCTCTGTCCAGCGCCGCAGGCACGACCTGGCACGCAGTGGGATTCCAATGCCGCTGACTGGATACAGGGCCCAAGGACGGGCAGGTAAGATGGGCACGGAGGGTGAGCCTGCCTCTCAGCCGTATTTCGTAGGCGGCAGGGACCAGGGACGTTTCTGAGGTGGTTTCCTCACCAGGGATTAACCAGACTTGCTCCTCAGTTCTTCCAGGTTGTGAGATGGAGTCCAAGGGACCTTCCAGACAAAACGGTTTGGAGCCAGGGCCTGGGAGAAGAGTCTGAGAGACCTTTTCGGTGCTGTGAGGACTCTAAGAACTGGGAGTCCTCCAGGGCAATCAGGAATACTCCCTGGAGGAGGCACTGAGGCACAGCTTTATGGAGTGGCAGCTGGGGAGAATGCGGGAAAGAAGGACAGACGCGGGTCTGTCAGGAGAAGAGTATAAAGGGGACTTGGATCTGAGTGAAAGGACGCAGCCATGGTGACACCCTATCTCAGCCCCTCTGACTAGAATGGCCAGACACGCTGCTTATGCACAGGCTGCCTCCTCCTGCCCTAGCCTCCAAGGCTACTTGGGGTGATAAAACCAGCAGGAGGGAATTGACACCCCAACTCTGCTTTGACCAAAGAGCTGGGCCTGCCAGACTCTGGTTCTTACTCCTGGTTCCTGCCCTTACCCCAGGCCCCTTCCAGGCTTCTGGGGAAGCCGGTCCTGGAGGGATGGGAGGGAGTCAAGGATGCGGATGATCACAGAGCAGGGGCCAGGCTGCTGGGAAGAAGCTCTTCATTATCTTTAATTGCCCTTGGCAGTTTTCACCAGGAGGGGAGGGCTGGGCAGAAGTGTCATCCCAGGTCACACCAGTGTTGGCCGAGGCTCCAGGAGAAGCTGTGACTTGCCCAGGGTCTCCCTGAGCATCTCAGGAAGGACTGAGCATCTTATCCACTCCTCTCCATCCTTGACAGCTGAGGTTGGATCCCCCTGCCCTGCCCATACAGTGAGAACCAGGAGTCAGGGTCAGCCCAGCTGAGATGTGAGTGTCCCAGATGGTATTTCCATCCTGACCCCAAGATATGGCCCATGGCCTCTGTCCTGAGGGCCTGATGTGCTCAATGACGAGTCGGGTATTCCTGACATGTTGCTGGTCCGGCTGGTTCCTCAGGTCAGAAACGCAAGGGTGGCTAGGCATGGTAGCTCACACCTGTAATCCCAGTCCTTAGGGAGGCTGAAGTGGAAGGGTCACTTGAGGCCAAGAGTTCAAGGCTGCAGTGAGCTGTGACCCCAGCCTGGGAGACAGAACGAGACCCCATTTCAAATAAATAAGAACACAGACCTCATTTCAAATACATACATACATTCATACATACATCTACATCTACATCTACATACATACATAAAAGAAATCCAAGGGTCATCCTCATCCCTGGGCCCTCCCTCATCACTCACAATGCAGTCCATCAACAAAACCTGTTGAGTCAACCACCTGGATGAGTCTTGACTCTGTCTCCTCCTGCCCCTCTATC